ATATATATTATATATATATATATATATATATTTGTTTACATGGTTGCATATGAATGTTCTTCTACAAGCAAGTCACTGTGAGCAGCTGCAGGTTGGTATGATTGCACTGACTGTAATTTATCGACCAGCATACCAAAAAAGTGGAATTCATGTTCCCTTGCCTCTCGCCGTTCTCTTTCTCTCTCTTCCCTATTTCTGTCTTCTCTTTCCAACATTTCCTGTCGCTCCAGACGCCGCAGTTCCATTTCACGATTCCAGAAGGCATCATCTGACTCTTTAAGCAGCTTAGACAATGAATCTATAAAACAATCGTCAGCCTTTCTTTTCTTTGCTTTTCCTTTTCCTACAAAATAAATAAGGTGGAATTTAAAAACAAAATATTAATATAAACAACATGCAAAGGTGCATCCACAGAACTCATAAAATGCATAACCATATTGCAGCACAAGCAACTACACTCTAAACTATAGTACAGAGAATATTTATTAGAAAATAATTATTAGATAATTATATTATTACTGCATTATCATAATTCAGACGTACTTTATTACTCGGTTATTGAAATTGCTCAATTACTTAATTACAATTACTCGGATACTTAATTACTCAACACCTAAATGTGCACATATACATTATACACATGTATTTGCAAAAAAACAACAACAATGATACCAGTACCTTTAGCTGATGAAGCTGCGAGATTTGCATTCTGATTTGCTGGAGCAGTCTTCTTACTCTGGACACCAGTATGGTTACCAGAGGTTTCTTTCGATTCTGGTGTTCTAGTGATACGCTTCGATGCTGTCAGTTGAATACCTGAAAAAATTATCAAATAATAAGTATATATTGCATAGAATATAGAGATATGTACTTCTTAGGGACTTCTTACTTCTTAGAGAGCTGTTTAACAGAAATAGTATATGTTAATACGGCCTGGTTGAAGTCCAACTTTCAACTGAGTGTATCTCTAGATGGCAATTGTAAGAAAAATTCCACCTGAACACGATGGAGTTGGCTGGTCAGTTGTCAGTGAAGATGACATAGAACACGATGATGGTGAACACTGCTCCAGTATTAACACTTCATAATCTGGACTGTTGGAAGATTCCTGCTCATTATCAGTACCTGAAATGGAAAATTCAATTTTTTTTACCTATTGCATGCTATGTGGTACAGTCTAAGAGGGATTGGTGTGATATATCTTAAGCCGGGTTTATGTCGGGTTGCGATTGCTTGGCAGCTTATGTCGGGTAGTAACCATGAAAACAATGCTTGCGACCGATGGAACCAGTCGCGCGTCGCTGCGACTGGTCGCAAGAGTAGAACATGTGCGACTCGCTGCGATCGCGTTGCGACTGCCAATTTTCCAGTCGCTGGCAGTCGCGGGGGTCAAACTTTCTCTGCGATGCGATCGTCGCTGCGACTTGCAACCAGTTGCAGAAAATTACAGAAAATCAGTCGCAAGGCAATCGCGTCGCGTCGCAAAGCCGACATAAGCCCGGCATTAGTAAGAACACGTGTAGAAAAACCATAGATAATGAGGAGGGTACCCTTGCATCTCCTAGCTGCCTCCCTCTCCCAGCCTCCCACCTCCCTTCCCCAGCTTCCCACCTCCCTCCCCCAATTCTCGCACCACCCTACCTCCATCCTCAAACCTTCCCCTTCTGTACCTTCTCCCACACACTGGTCACCGTGTATGTACACACCGTCTCCCGGCTCCATGTGTCCATGTACAACCAATAATGTTCATCAGAATGCTCCCCCATCCTACTTTTTTTCTGAGATTCCTAATTTTGCTATACTTTTCTGACCCTACTTTATCCGTACTTTTTTGTGAGGGGTCAATCACAGGTCTCAAATAAAGAAATGTGTATTACACACTGAAAGTAACTTGATTGATCTTAATAAGTTAATTATAATTAAATACTATATTATTATTAATATATTACCATAAGAAAGTTCATCTTCAAATTCAATGAAGACTTCATCCTCCTGACTATCCTCAGCCTGACTAGTATTGGATGATTCCAGCAAAGTAGGGGGGTTCATGCATGGCCTGGATCCAAGAATCTCATCCAATTCGTCTAAATATGGTATTGACTTTCTTGCCCTGCCTGACCTGTTGTTATTGTCGATGCAGCCCTAGTATGCAGTCTTAAATTTTTCCATTTTATTAGCTATCTGACTAACAGTCCGTTCGTATCCGAGCTCAGCCATTTGGGCCACTATATTTTGATACACAATCCGATTTTTCGAAGTTCCAATCAGTTGCGCTTGTATGAAATCACTCTTCCATATCTTCAAGAGTGCTAAGTTCTCCTCGTGACTCCAGTTACATCCTCTGTCATTTATCGACATGATTGGTGATCAAATGATAATTCAACTTCTTGTTAGATTCAAATTCAAATTCAAATTTAAATAGAGTTAATTGCACGGATAATCGTATATCATACAGGCAAATACTGAAATAGGCTACAAAGTACAATAGACGCAGAGATACAGAGATATTTGAATACAGAGATTCAAATAAACGCGCGAAAACCGTGTATAGTATGCAGAAGTAAAACGGAAGTCGACACTTGCGGCATCTACCGCTCTAGCGAAATAGCTGGTGCTAATATTTGTCTCGGGCCTGGTCCGACGTTTTCGATGGGGCCAAATCTGGCTCGGGCCTAATTAGGCTCGGGCCAAAAACGTCCGTGTGAACGCTCGGTTCGAGCCAAATCTGGCTCGGGCCTAATTAGGCTCGGGCCAAAAACGTCCGTGTGAACGCTCGGTTCGAGCCAAATCTGGCATGGGCCCAATTAGGCTCGGGCCAAAAACGTCTGTGTGAACGCGCCTTAAAAAAAGAGATGGAGAGGGAGAAGAAAAGTGAAGAGAAAAGGAGAGGGGGGAGAAGGTGGGAGGGTGATAAATGTCGTGATCATAGGCTGATCGTGGGCTTATTACCAGCTTAATGGAAGGACACGAACATCGAAGTGACTTTGCCGTTTTTCCATTATTATGAAACGCATTATCACATGAACCAAAGAACAGCATATATGCCACAAAACTTTTTCATCTAATCGCAAATCTTAAAAATAATATACTCAAGAAAGTGATAAATTAAGCTCGCCACCTGTATAGATTTTCCCGCTGAACAGACCTCCACTGAAACCATACCACTTTAAAATTCCTTCCGACGGGCCTGGTTCTAACCCCATATCCAATAATATCCCCACTTCAGATCAAACTTCGAGAATACCTTACTTTTGTTCATATCTTGTAGCAGCTCTTCAGTAGTGGGTATCGGGTGACGTTCACGCATTACTGCCTGGTTGACGCATCTCATGTCTACACAAATTCTTATGTCGTCGTTGGCTTTCGGCACTATTACCGTAGGACTGACCCACTCTGTCGGTTCCTCGACTTCCTCTATTTTCTTCTCTACCTTTTCCCTCAGTCCGAATGGTGTTCGGCGTACAGGCTGAGCAACCGGTTTAACCGAAGGATCAGTTTTTAACTTTACCTGGTGACCTTTGAGTTTGCCCACACCTTCTAATGCATCCTTAAACTCAGTCTCAAGTTTCGCCTTCATCTCCGGGATTAGCGAACTCCGAGTGTTGGTGATATCTGAGACACCAACCGAGTTTATATCTCCATGTATCTTCAGGACCTGTAGCTGCGTCGCCGTTTTCAGACCTAATAAGGGAATACCCTTGGCGTCGATCACAACAAAGACCGCTTCGCACTTTTGTTCTCCTATTGAAACTTCAGATTTAAATGTTCCGATCGTTTTCAATGGCTCTTTGCACCCATATGCAAAAAGTGATTTGGCGGGTGTGGCAGTACTGGAGACACAAATGACGCCATGACTTTTCAAATCTGTCCACGTTTCTTTGTCTATGACGTTGACACTGGCTCCTGAGTCTACCAACATGTGCAGTGGCACGCCACCCACATGTACTTTCACTCGCCCCGTGTTTGTGTCACCTATTTTAAATGCGTACCTAGCCCTTGTTTGGTCGCCGGTGTTCTCACTCTGCTCACTCACATCAGTATGCACGGCATTCACATGCTTAGATTTGCAAACTTTTGAAAAGTGGTCCATTTTTTGGCACTTGTTACACTTCTTGCCTTTGGCCGGCCAGTACCGCATCTGTAGCACTTACCCTTCGCTTGTTTACGGGGCACTCCCTTGCTGTTACGGCTACTAGCACTACTGGACTTACTGGACTTGCACCCGAAGCTCACTTTGTTCACACTGTCTCCCCCTGTTGCACCAGTACTGTGTGTGGGCCCCATCTGACGTACGTCTATCTTCTCACACTGGGCCGCTAAAATCAGTGCACGGGCCAGGGTCAGTTCGTCCCCTTCCTCCAGGAGCCTACGCTTTATGTACGGTGATGTACATCGCCACAGCAGGGCATCACGAATGTGGTTTTCTGTGTCCGCTCCGTAGTTGCAGTCAATTGAAAGTTTGCGCAGTCTAGTAGAAAATTGCTGGAATGTCTCGCCTTGATTGGGCTCTGCAGTGTTAAACAATTGTCGTGCGTACGGCACGTTCACCTGCGGCACGAAATACCTGTTCAGTGCCGTTACAGATGGGGTGTAATCGTTCACCTCCCCCCCGTGTCTGGCAGGGTGGCGAAAATGTATTGCACCTCGGGGCCAGCTAAGTGTAACAACAGTGCTCTCCTTCTCTGATGAGTAATGTTCTGTGCGCGGTTATGTGGTGCATCTCATCCCATCAAGTCTTCGATTATTAGTCCTTTCCCATCAGCCAGAAATCCGAATGCCGTCAGCCATCGTGACCACCGTGTGCCTACTGTAGCCGGGTCTGTGTAACATTCAAACGGCTTAATGCCTCCCTTACCACCGAATTCGTCTCCCATTGTTGTGAAACGAGTGTGGGTGCGTTGTTTACCTCGTCGCCAGTGTAATAACTGCTGATGATTATGGATTTAACCACTTAGGACAATAATGTACATGACAAAATATGTTTGTTAACCTTGCTGGTTAGCCTGTTTGACGCTTGCATTCTCGATTTCAAATTTGTAAAATGTTGATAAATTATGGCATGATATCCTTCAGGTAAAACAGTAATGTAGGCTATTTGCTCATAAAATGTTATAAATAAAAATGTAGGTACTCGCTAACACGGCTGAAACCACCGGCTTTGAGGGCCGGTGTTTTGCCAATGTTACTTGCCCTCCAAAAAATTTGCCAGCATATGCCAGTGGGCTGGTGCTAATTTCGCGCCCTGCTATATCAGTAAACCCACAGGCACTTGAAGCGTTTCAATAAAATATAATGCTAACTAAATACGAAATCTATTTACTTAGTGTAAAGTATCGGATGTCCAGACATAATTGGGTAAACAACATTTATTCGTGCTTAGCATAACATGGCCGAGCCCAGAGAGGACTGCTTTCAGTAACAGTCTACATACGCGGGTATACGCGTAGTGATGTGGCTACAAGGTAGTTCTGCATAATGTTACATCCCCTTTCTTTTAGAAGAAAGATTGTACTTCAATCATGAGTAAAAACTGAACTTTAAAGACCTTCGAATTATGCTATCCGAGTAGTAACCAACATGACGTTAATGTTAATGCTGTAATAGTCCTGCTTGGACATTTTCCACGCTAACTGTCAATTACTTCTACAGTCCAACATGACTGTCACAAAAACTGAACGTTACAGTAGTTAAACCGAATATCCAACCGAATTAACTAACCCAAATATCAAAGTTATACAACACGTATGCATTGCGTTCTCCACTACACAAATGCCTGACTGTATCATATTGTTAACACAAATTATAAATCGAGCTTTCTCGGATTTCTGACCATTCTGCCTGAACGGGTATGATAGATTGGATGGTCACTGGCACTCCCAGTATTTGGAACACGCACTGGTTCACTCTCAATGGTTGCCTTGAATCGGACGTGTTTTGTTGGGGACCTCACATCTATCTCTGGGGGTGAA